GCTATAAACCAAAAACTGCAAACACAGTCAGTAGCTAAAGCCTTCAGCACCTGCCTTGAAAAATCTACCCAGATCTACTAAACCACCCTTTCCTTAACAAGTTGCAAGTTTGTACCTCACTCCAGTGCCTATACCTACGACTACCTCATTTTGTATGTGATAAGGAGGGGGGAGATGTGGTAGGTAAGGGACAGGCGAGCGGAAGATCACGGGATGTGACGGAAAGATAGACCCCTCCCCCTCTCTCTCTTCCCCACACTATCTATTGACCCCAGGAGCCTCAGAAGAATGTAGCCACACCTGCCCTGGTAAATTTCCACTACCCGACTAACCCCTGGGACCCCCAACCCCCCTCTGACGCAGCAAAAACCCCCAAAACTATTTAAACTCACGAGATAGGATAATAAACGCTTTTCAACCGTCTGCCATATTGGTGTATGCGTCTGTTGATTAGCCCGAGCAGCCCGGCCGAGACCAGGCTGCCGTGCTGTTCCCTGAACCAGGTCTCTGGTTGTCCTTTATAAAGGCAACAAGGGTCATAAACTGGAGACAAATGAAGATCATGAATGCAGAAATTGACATGGTGGGAGTCTGAAAGAAAATGAAAACATAAAATGGAGTAAGAAGACACTAAGGAAGAAAATGCCACTTGCTTTAACTGTACTGAGGGAAAGAAGGGACTAGGGGTCTTTTCTCCCCTTGCGACGTTGTCTATTGGATGCGACTGCATCATCTGTGGGGTCATTCAACGTGTTCGGGGAGGCACACTCTGATGGACTCACTTTCTATTCTGGTGTGTAAGGTTTGATTAATTTCTTAGGGATCCATTTGACTCCTGAGGACGTGGACACGCATGCATACCCACGTCCCCAGGTGATAAACTGGTACAGACCCTGGATTTCCCCAGAGTCTGGGTCCCTAATTAATACTGGCGGTCTTTCAATGGGTCTTAACTGCAGGTGCTGCTTAAAATGACACAAGACTGGTGGCTCAGGCCTATCAAAAGAACAGTTCAAGAAAATAATAGTGAAAAGGTCCTTGCAGAGCCTGAGCTGTGGTGATGAAACTCGAACATCTCTCCGCTGGCAAAGGAGGACTTTCTTTAGCATCTGGTATGTTCTCTATATGACAGCCTGGCCAGTGGGGAAGTGTGGAATCCCCCTCTGATGGTTAACCCCCCATTCCTGTGAAAACTCACTGAACGCCTTGGAAATTTAAGCTGGGCCATTGTCAGTTTTGATGGTGGTGGGGACCCCCAAGGTCGTGAATGCCTGCACGAAATGTTTTTGTGCATCCGCGGCCTTTTCTCCTGTGTGAGCTGAGGCAAAGACTGCTCCAGAGAAAGTGTCCACAGAAACATGTACATACTTAAATCTGATGAACTCAGGTAAGTGGGTGATGTCTGTTTGCCACACCTCACAAGCGCGGAGTCCTCTGGGATTCACACCAGAACCTAGAGATGGTAAAGAGGACTCCTGGCAGTTGGGGCATGTGGCCACAATTGCCTTGGCCTGGTCACGCTGCAGGTGGAATTGGCGCACCAGACATGGGGTGTTCTGGTGGAACTGTTGATGGTTTAGTTTGTTCTGTTGGAAGATGTTAGGTTGGCCAACCAGCTGTAGGGGAGTGGCCAGAGCATCTGCCCTACTGTTTACTTCTGAGATAAAACCAGGGAGGTCAGTGTGCGACCTCACATGCATTACATAACAGGGTTGCTCTCAGTGGGAAGCCAGATAGATCAGCTCCGAGAGCAAGCTGAATATTACCGGGTTGGAAACTTTGAGCACTGCATGCTCTGCCCTGGGTACCACACCCGCCACATACTCCAAATCTGTAGCAATATCGATTGGTTCCAAAAATACCTCAAAGGCTCTGAGGACAGCGTCTAACTCAGCCCTTCACAACCTTTACGTCGGCTTCTCACTGCTGAATGAGGATCCTTCCATGTCACCACAGACTTGTGGGACCCTCCCCACCGGTGTGGGGAGTTCTGCAGTCCCCCACTTGCACTGCCCTGTCTGGCCCACCTCTCTGTCCTAAGGTTGCTGAAAGCATATCTGATGAGCTGTGTCTGTTTTCAATCTGAGCTCAGGCTTGGTGGGCAGTTGTGTGCCTCCTGTGAAAGCAGTTCCCAAAACCCAGCCCTGCAGCTGGGACAGGCCAGTTCCTGCCTGCTGGGATCCTGTGCACAGGGACCTGCTATGGCCATGGCCTGCAGAGCTGGCTGTGGGGACAGAGCCAGCAGAACCAGCCTGGTGGGATGGGCTTGGGGCTCCTGCAGCAGGTGGACAGGAGCTGGGAGGGACATGCCCCTGCAGGCAGCACTGCCAGTCCCCTCCCTGGCACAGCAGGGTGAAGCCCAGGATGCCACAGGGCTGGGCACTGAGTGTCCTCTGCCCCATCCCACAGGAGGCCGGTGGCCCATGGCAGTGTCCCCCGTGTGCCACAGAGATCTGGGGACCATCAGAGCAGCAGCTCCACAACGCAGAACATCAGGGCTTCCCTACAGAGAAGTGGTCAGCAACAGGCCTTGACAGTCCAAAAAAAGGTAGGGATTATGAAGGTGGGGAAACAGAATAATGACTGCGGCTTGATGGCATTGCTGACTATCCAGAGGGAATCTGTGCCTTCAGTCCCCAGGGAGACCTGGGTTGGGAGGATTATTAGGGGATGCTGGATTGGTTGGGCCCAGCATTTCAGCTTATTGCCCTCTCCTCCTCAGCCCAGTGTGACCCAGCTGCTGGACAATGATGGACACATCTTAAGGGGCCGTAAAGTCCAGCATCCTACGGCGATCAGGACACAGGATACATCAGGTATGGCCCTGTTAGGGCATGGGGGTCAACGAGGACAGGGGCTGATTATCTGTGGGGTACCGGCTGGGGGATGAGCTCCGTGTGCAGAGCTGGGCAGGTTGGGATGGGGCTTGGGGCTCTGACCTGCTTTGGAAGGGGCAGAAGCAGAATGGACGAGAAGGACTGGCTCATGGGGCAGCTGAGCTTGGCTCTCTGAGGGTCTCTCACTAGGCAGGTGACACTTGTGCTGGCCACCCTGGGCTGGCAGAGTCTCTCCAGCCAGGGGCAGTCCCTGGCAATGAGGGACTCACCCTTGGCCTTCAACCCCCAGGCCCTGCCGCCTCACGAGGGCCCCGGCCAAGCACAGCCCCCCGACACATCTCGAGTGCACCAGGGCTCGTCCAGCCTCTCCAGCCCGTCCGGACATCCACAGCCCCCAGCCAGCTGGAAAGGACTCCGCGCCCAGTGCTCGATCTGGGACATCTCAGAAGCGAGAAACGCCTGTGACGCTGCTGTTGAGAAGCATGATGTTTGAGTTGTATTAAGTTGTATTATTTAGTTGTATTTAGTTGTATTATAAGTTAATAAAACCCGTTAAACTGTAGGCAGAGCCTTGTCTCAGCAGCCTGTCTCTTCCCCGGGCTCCCTGACGCTCCTTAAGCTCCTGGCCCCCGCTGTGGCCGGGCCCCAGGCCGAGCAGACGGAGCCCTGGGCCGGGCCCTGAGGCTGCTGCCGGTCCCGCGGCGCCCGCGGGGCAGCTCTGACAGCCGGGCCCGCTGTGGCAGCGGGAGCAGCGCTGCACAGCCGCGGCCCTGCCGGGCTGGGCGGCCTCGGGCAGATCCCCGCGGGGCCCGGCTGGCACTGCCGGCGCTGCTGCTCTCGGCTGCCGCCTGAAATCCTCACAGGCAGCCCTGGCGCCGACTCAGGAGCCGCTTGCAGCCGTGCCCCACGGCTGGCCCCGAGCCCCAGTGCTCAAGTGCCCTCGTCCCTTCATCTCTGCACGGGGAGGCTGCAAGCTCAGTTGTCAGCTTCCTCCTCCTCTTCCTCGCTGAGGGGCGGCCTGAGGGGCTGGCCCAGCACGGCCTGGCAGCCCCTTGCCCACAGCTCCTGTCAGGAGCCAGAGCTGCTTCCAGCCAGGCACCCCCGGCTGTCCCGCAGCCCGGGGCCGATCGTGCATGGCTCAGATGGAATTAGCGTTCATTAGCCAGGGATATACACGGTCTACTTTAGGCGGCCAGAGAGCCCCATAACTGCCTTGGGCCACCTTTGCTTGTTATTGATGTGAAAATGCATATTTGAGAGCTAACAAGAGTTAGGCATTACTTTGTGCCGGTCAGGGTGTGTGGAGCAGATAGTTGCAGCCACACACATGCACAAAACTTTTCACTTAGTTATCTGCTTCTAGCAAACAAAGAAATCGATGGCTGTCCATTGTCAATCACATAATTCTCTTCATTAATTAGTATTCTAACCTCTATTGGTTAGAACTTTCTTGTATCTCATCCTAATTAGCATACATTTCTCTGACTCTTTATTATCTTTTTCCAAGGCTGTGAGTTATCCAGCATATATAAAATTGCCTTTATTAATCTCTTCATTGTCTAATGGTCTCTGCAACAACTCCTTGGATGGCTATAAACCCTGCATTTCACATGTCCACTTTGCAGCTTTGTTCACTGAAGCTCCTAAGTGTTTGTTTAGCAAAACTAAAAGGTTCCCTGATTTTCTCAATGAAATCCTAATAATAACACACTGTGGAAAGAAGTTTAGCTACCAGCTGGCCGAGAGGTGGACTTACACTTCTAAAGATTAATTTTAAAAACTAATTAAAAGTTATAAACTGCAAGCCCAATAACCTGCTGTAGGGCTTTGAAGCAGGAAGGATTAGGGGTGAACAGAGCACGTTTTGGAAAAGGGGCAGATGGAGTAGATGGCAGGTGTTGGAGGGAAGAACTTGGTTTGTCTTCCCCCACAGTCTTGGGGGTGTTAGCAGGAGAAATTATTTCATTGTCTTCTTTATGGACCATCAAACTGACATAAAACCTGCCTTGGAGGGAATTGTACAAAGGCTTCACCCAGGGAGACTCTTTGCCCTGAACTCCAGAGGAGAAAGGAGTCTATGCCCCAACAACCCTATAGCTCAGCGAGGGGCTCACGGGGTTCCTCCTGCACCTCCAGCATGAGGAACAGCACCCCACTGCTTCCCCTGCAAAGGCTGATCCCAGGGGATGCTCCCACCCAGGTCCTGGGTTTGCAGCAGTGCAGGAACTGGCTTAGATGAAACGCAACTCTTAAACTGACCAAAAGAAAAGCAATGAGGCTGTTCTCTCCAGGGAGACCTTTAATCACTTTTCAGCAGATAAAAGGACTACAAAACGACTGGAGGGGGACTTGGCACAAGGGCCTGGCATGGGAATGGCTTCACACTGAGAGAGGGGAGAGTTATGTGGGATATTGGGAAGAAACTCTTCCCTGTCAGCATGGTGATGCCTTGACAAAGACTGCCCTGTTCCTGGAAGTGTCCGAGACCAGGTTAGATGGAGCTGGCAGCAACCTGGTCTAGCAGAAATGGTTCCTTTATCTCTCCCTGACAGGGGGTGAAATGAGAAGGTCTTTGAGGTCCCTTCCAGCCCAAGCCATTCCGTGACTCTATGACTTCATGTGTCTGTTACCCAGGGGTGAGGTGTGCTGCCTGGCAACGGGAATTGTGATGAAAAGGGGTTTGAGCAGAGCAGGCTCCAGTCCTCTGAAGGACACGGAAGGAGGAAGGAGCCTGTTGGCTTCTCACGTTTTTATTATTGCTTTTGCTGACCCCTGACAGACCTAGCTGGGCAGGAAGGCTTGTGACCAAGCAGGGACTGACTGTGTGCAGACATGGCAGCATCCCTGGACACACTCAGCCTCTCCCAGATGCTGGATCTCGCCATCGGGACGCCCCAGAAGGGGATAATTCACTTTGCAGCCATGAGAAAACTGCTGCAGGCCGTGCTGGAGCACCTGGACGTGCAGTACCTGACCAGCCAGGAGCCGTGGCCGGGCCAGCTCAGTGGCCCCTCACTTGCTGATGTGGCCACTGAGATGGAAAAGATGAAGAAAGACATGGAAGATTACAAGAAACACATGTCCAAGGTAGAGGCTCCTCCCAGCCCCCGGGGCACTCCCCCAGCAGACAGCCCCTCCCCGCCTCCTCAGACAGCACTGCTTGGCACTGCCCTCACTGCCCCGGCACAGCCCCTGGCAGGGGCTCTTTGCCACCTGGATGGGCCTCAGTGCTCTGGCACCGAGCCGGGCTGGGGCAGGTGGCACTGGGACTCTCCCTGCCCACCTGGATTGCCACGGGCTGCCTGTGGCAGGGTGGGGCTCTTTGGGGTGTTGCTGCCCTGGACATCACCTCTGACATCCCTGTTGGTTGGACTGTTCCACAGGTTCTTCGTGAGGAGTTTGGTGGGATAAAGGCAGAACTTTCCCACCTCTCCGAGAACATGAAGAAGTTCCAGGAGACACAGGTCTGTGCAGACCACTGTGGTTCTCAAGGTCATATTTCCCACACTCACTCTCCAGAGACTTGTCTCTGACAATGCTTTCTCCTAGACCATGGCTATGTCTCAGCATGAGGAAGAAATTGAAAAGTTAAAGGCTGCCATGCGTCATACGGCAGGGGAAATGAAGAAGGTCCAGATGTTGCGGGACGAGGTGAAGTGCTGCTGGGAGCAAGTTTTGGGTCTGAGAGAGCAGCCTGGACCCTCGGCCCTGCTGGCTGGAGGCTCAGTACCCTTGGCCCTGCCAGATGCATGGACCGTGCTGCCTGCAGAGCCCTGCCAGCCTGGCTGAGCCCGGCCCTGCGCTGTCCCCAGGGCTCCACAAAGCACAGCAGGGCTCAGGGCCTTGCAGGTCCCCACTGACCCTTCCACAGGCTCACTGCCACCACTCCTCTCTCCTAGGACATGGCTCTCATGCGGGATCTCCGGGACGAGATGGACAGGATAAAGACAACACAGATCCTCATGGAGGGAGACATAAAGAAGATTAAGGAGTCACTTGTCTTAGTGAGCTGTTGGGCCGTGTAATCTTTAGGCTCTAATGGGGGACATCAATGTGATTCCAAGAGCAGGGTTTGGGATCAGGGTCTCAGGACCAGGTGGAGGAGCCTGGGTCTGCCCATGTAGCTGAAGGGCCCCCACGCTGGGACCACAGGATGTCCGTGCCCTGACTCTACCATCACTGGCTTTCCAGATGAAGAAGCTGGAGGAGGACCTTAAAAAGCTGAGGGAGGATGCAGCCAAGTGGAAAGAAGAGAGCAAGAAGGAGATCTCTCAGCAAATTGAGTAAGAGGACAGGAGTGGGTTTCATACCCTGTGGGGCTGCAAAGGAGCCCGGGGGGTCTGGCAGCATCCTGGTTTGCATGCACAGCACAGTGCCCTGCAGCCCTGCAGGGGAAACCCTGACCTTGTCCCCATCCTGCTGGCCAGGGCTTTGCGTCAGGACACAAAACGTGAGCTGCAGAAGATGGGAGAGCAGCAGGAGAGGAGGAATGCCATGCTGGAGGAGATGGTGACTCAGACAGCCGACCAGCTGAACGAGCAGGTGAGGTCCTGGGGGAGCACTCCCACCACTCCTGGCTTGGTCATGTTGGAGGTCCATGCCACATCCTCATGCTCTGTGGTGCTTTGCTGTAATGTGGGGGAGGCCCAAACTGCCCAAATTGGCCTGGACCAGTCAGCAGCATGGACGCAGATTAAAGCCTTGATGCAAATGTCCTGTTGACACTGAGAGCTCATGGCCACTGGCTGAGTCATGTGGGTCGGCCCTGTGGAGCAGCCAGACCCCCTTTGGTCATCAACTAATGCTCTTCCTTCCCTGGAGCAGGATCAGGAGCTGCGCCAGCACATGGAAGCCAAGTTTCTGCAGATGCAAAAAGACTACGAGAAACTCAGCTTAGCCTCAGGGATCCTCCAGAAGGACTCTCAACAAAAGCAGAAAGAAATCACGGTGTGTGGCTGAAACCCTTTTTAGGTCAAAGCATCCCCCAAGATGTGCCCGGGCAGGGATCACAGAGCATCTCTTGACGATCTCCTCACAGCACTGTGCTTGTTCCAAGTGCCTTTTGCCAAGGTTTTTTGTGTAGGGGGAGAGGGTGATGCTCCCATATCCTGGGGTGTGCCCCAACCTTGCTGTGGTGTCATGGGTTCCTTTTTGTACTGAAAGATGCTGTTCCAGTCTCTGGAGAAGCTTCAGAAGGAGAAGGCAAATGAGCAGGACGTGATGGCAGCAATGGACATGGTACAGTCTCGATGGGCCTCTCTGCCAGCCCAAGGGTTTCCAGGCAGGGTGCCAAATGCCCCTTGTCCCTTGGGTGCTGGGTGGCAGAACTGGCCTGGGGAGGGAGAATTTCCCGAGCATGTTGGGGTTCCCTCACCCTCCCGATGGTGGGACCAAACCCACCAGGGTGATGGGGCACATGGGGCCACAGCACCCTGAAAGGGGCACGATGGCCTGGAGGAAGCACTTCTCCCTCTGCCCCTCACACGCGCTGGCCCTGCCTGTCGTTCCTCATCCCTTTCCCCACCGCTCTCCTGCCGTTCCCCTCTGCTAGAAGGCGGACAAAGCTGCCTTGGGCAGCAAAGTCGATTGCACCCAATTTGAAGAGAACATGGAAGAGATGGATGAGAGGATGCAGGAGTTGCAGAGCCAGATTTCGGGCAAGGAGGAGCACTGGAACAATATGCAGCGTCAGTTAAGCGATGCAATTGAAGAGAAGGTGAGGGGTCCCTCATCACCTAAATGACAAACTGGCACCTTTGGGACTGGACAGCCTGAGGCAGCATCCCTCTGAGGATCCCCCTCCAGGCTTTTCCCTGGAGAGCTCCATGTCACACCCCGGGGCAGCTGGCTGAGGCTGTGCACCTGTTCACAGCTGGATCGCCTGGAGCTGAAGGCTTTCCGTAAGCACCTGGACGAGGCCTGGAACAGGAACATGGAGGAACTTGAGAACAGGCTGTTGCGTGAAAACGCTGCTGGGATTAAGAAGTGAGTGTGATGCAGATTCTGAAGGCTTTGGGGACAGCAATGGTACCATTCCCTCCAGCTGTCCCACAACGCTCCCCGTGTGCTCCCCTGCCTTGGGACCAATTCAGCTGCTCAATGAACCAGGGGGATGCTGATGAAGCAGCTGCACCTTCTCCTTCCACCAGCAGCAGGTTCCACACAGGAAAGGAGGCACAAGGACAGGGCACCTGCAGGACAGAGCCCTCCCAAAGCAAAATGGGGCTGTGGGTGCAAAGGCTCCCAGAAGCCAGGGTGGGAGATGGGAACTGCTCCTCCCAGGCAGGGCTGTGGGACGCAGGTCCCAGAGCTGGGTCATGCCCTGCCCTCCTGGCCGTGCACACAGGGGACTTTGGTGCCAGAGAGGGGCAGAAAGCGCTGCAGGGGCTGCTTGGGATGGTGACATGGGGGACTGTACCCTTCAGCTGGCATCATCCAGCACGCTGGGGATGGGGAGAAACAGGCTCAAGAGCCCACGGTTCAGCCTGCAAACGCCGTGACCCTGTGCAGTGACCTGCCCGGCACCCGGCTGCTGCCAGCCGCTGCTGCCTGTGTGCGGGCAGGGCTGTGGCCCCAGGAGCTCCCCCAGCCCTCTTCTCTCACCCTCCTTAGGCAGCTGCCAGTCCCTTTCTCGTGCCTGTCCTGTGACCGCATGCTCACCGTGCAGGTCCCTGGCCAGTGAGTAGCACCAGTGCATCGGGGGCAGCGGGGCTGGCATGGGGGGAGATGGGTGCCAGCAGTGACCGCTGTGCTGGGCACAGGGTGACAGGGTCTGCTTGGGAGGCCCTGATGTGGGGAGCCCCTCTGCAGCCCTGCCGGCAGCAGGGGTGTGGGCACTCATCCCAAGGGCTACAGGCAGCGGGGTACCATGGGGTACAATCCTCTGGCTTTGGGGGTGCTGCCTCCAACAGGAACAGGTTGTTTGTCCCCTGTCACACCCCTGTGACTCCTGCCCTCCCCAGGTACCCCGAGACACTCCCGTATTTGCCGCCGCTGCCCCCCAGCAAGGAGCCACCGCCCAGCCAAAGGTAAGGGCCCTGAGGACACATGCCCAGCTCCCGGGGTGCAGGCACGCCCTGACACAGCAAGGAGGGCTTTTCCCGGTGTGGCACAGGCTTTTCCTTCCTGCCTGGGGCTCCTGCAGCAGGTGGACAGGAGCTGGGAGGGACATGCCCCTGCAGGCAGCACTGCCAGTCCCCTCCCTGGCACAGCAGGGTGAAGCCCAGGATGCCACAGGGCTGGGCTCTGAGTGTCCTCTGACCCATCCCACAGGAGGCCGGTGGCCCATGGCAGTGTCCCCCGTGTGGCACAGAGCTCTGGGGACCATCAGAGCAGCAGTTTCAAACTGCCCCCCATTCAGCATTCTCTTCGGAACAAGGCATTTCCGCAGGGACCCGTCACCCTCCCCAACAAGGTAGGGGTGAAGAAGGTGGGGACATGGCATGTGTAATGTGGACTGGCAGCGTGATGCTGAGGATCCAGGGTGAATTTGTGCCTTCAGTTTCCTCGGGCAGAGCTGCTTTGGGAGGGCTGCTAGGGAATGCTGAATTGGGCCCTGCATTTCAGCCAACTGCTCTCTCCTTCCCAGCCCAGAGTGAGCCAGCTGCTGGGCAGGGGTGGACACATCCCGAGGGGCTGCAATGACCAGCTTCCTGTGCTGACCAGGACACTGGATGAGCCAGGTGTGGCCCTGTCAGGGCACGGGGATCAGGGGAGAAGAGACTGGTTGTCTGCTGGGTCTGCGCCTGGTCCCTGGGGGTCTCTGGCCAAGCAGGTGACCCTCCTGCTGCCCTGTCCTGGGCTGGCTGAGCTGAGCCAGACGGGGCAGCCCCGGGGACTGGGGCTCACCCTTGCCTCTCACCCCCAGGCCCTGCCACCTCCCGGGACCACCGGCCTGGCACTGCCCCCCGACACGTCTCCAGGGCACCAGGGCTCCTCCTGCCAGCCCAGCCCCGTCACACTTCCACAGCCCTCAAGTAGCCGGACAGGACTGGGAACCCAGTGCTCCACCAGGGACATCTTCTCAGCAGACAGAGAAGTCTGCCACAATTGTTGTCTGTTAAATCATTTTTCATTTCATTAATAAAAGTCTTCTGAAAGACAAGCAGAGCCTTTTCCCACTGTCACTGAATACATGGGGATAAATACAACTATCTTACACTATTTTTACTGTTAGGAATCAGGCATCACTTAATTCCCAGCACTGGGATGTCTGGGAATAGCTCCACTCAGCATGCACCCCCACTCTCTAAACTTTTCACTATGTATTTTTATCAAAGGAATTAATGCTCATTGCCTATAAATTTCATATTTCTCTTCCTTAATTAATATTCTATCTTCAGTTTGGTTTTGATTTCTCAATTCTCATGCTGTTGCCAGCTAAAGAAGTGTTAGCTCCTGGTGGGCTCATACGATGCTCATTTTAGCAAAGTCTGTGGAACCACACCATCAATAGCAGGATAAACATTTACCAAGGAAGGGAGTAAAAGTACAGTCCACTGATCTAAGGTTTCATAATTTAAATAACAGGACAGCTAGATCAACTTTTCTCCTCATTTGCAGAGAAGCACCAGTTCACCAGGTAACTTAAACTGTCCACTTGTTTGGAAAAATACCTTATGGCCCTTTTCCATGTCCCCAGCCTCTGAGCTAACACCCGTAGTGCAACGTGTCAGTGTTTGTGAACAAACAGCTCCAGAGGCTTGGTCACGTCAGGTAATGCCTGTGCAGGGCTGACATTAGAGCTCTCTTGAGGTCTCTGAAAGCCTCTGGCAATCTGGGGTCCACTGTAGCAGCTCCTTGCTGTAGCACCTCCTTGGGGGTTTCTCAGGGCCACATATCAAGCTCTTACCACAGGCCAGAATTAAGAACCCAGAGCCCACACCAACCACCCATTCCTAGAAATGTTCTTAACCTGCAAAAAGACCTTTTCTCTGGGGTTTGGCAAATTGCCTCCATCCTTTTGGTTCCAAGGCTTTGCTGCCCCTGGGAAATGGTGAACCTCTGATACAGAACATGCTCTTTAGCACTTGGGGCCTTCTTCTTGGACACCCTGTAACTGGCTTGTCCCAAAATCTTCAGGAAACTGAGAATTATTTCAATGCATCTAGCTTGAGTTCCTGTAGCAATTAAAAGATCACCCACATACTGTAGCAAAGTGGTCCCTTCATTCTCCTTTTCCCATCCTGAAGGGACTGCCGGAGCTTGGCTGGCTCTTACAACTCCGCTGCCTGGCCAGGAGTGGGGAACTGCCTCGGGATGGGCATTTACCTGAGGCTGAACCTTTAGAGGCACTTGCTCTAAGGTGCCAGACACAAGCCACCACAGGGACCACGAGAGGAGAAAGGAGGAGGCTCTCTGCCTTGGGGTTCCACAAGGAACACTTCACTCCAGGTGAAGGGAGCTCAAACAAAGAGCCCCAGGCACTCCTGTGCAGGGGTTTAGTAAAGATACAAGTCAGGGGTGGATGCAAACAGCCAACCAAGAGGGAATCCTCAGGGGAGGAGTGAGGGGATCACATCCCGTGTCTGGGGCCACTTGGGGCAGGGGGGTGGGGAGGATGGGGCACACGGGCCAGCGGGGCTTCCAGGGATAGGAGAATTCCAAAGGGTGCTGCAGACAGGGATTGGCCCAAGGTGTGAGTGGCACAGAAGGTTCGGGAATCAAGGCGTGGATTGCCTTGACAGGCAGGGAAAGAGCTGGAACAAGGGTGGGGAATGGCATGGGGGACAGCTTTGAGGGAGGGTAAAGCCCAGGGCTAAACAAAGTCGGGGAGAACATGGGGCTGCAACAGGATGAACCACTTAACAAGGACTCAATAAAATAAATCCAACCGCAACACCATACCTCCAATTCTTTTGCCACTTGGTTCTTGTCTTGGGGTGGCAGTATGATACTGTGCCCCTGTTGTTTGCTTAATGCCCAGACAGGGCTCCTGTAACTTTAAGCTAGGTCTGAGAGAGGGGTGGAAAGCTGGTGGAATTCTTTTGGTGTGGTTTTCACACATCCTCCCCCAGGCTCGTTCAGCTGTGTTGTGCAGCATGGACAGAGGGAGTACATCTTTGCTTTTAGCTGGCTCCTTCATTCTTTGTTTGACAATGCCAGAAGGTTTTCCAGGCCTGTGGCTTTTTTTCCTGGAACTGTTGGGCTTTTCCCCGACCTGAACATCACCGGGAGCCCTGCGCCCCAGCCCGGAGGGGAGGCCCTGGGATGGGTGTCCTGGCTCCAGACTCGGGAGGAGCTGAGCCACTCCTACAGAAAGAACTGTGAATCCACAGCTTTCTCCACAGCAAGAAGGTTTGACTATCTGACATTATTCATTCTGTTTCCTGCGCCTGCCTGCACTCTGTGCGTTAAATAAACAGCTTTTTTTCAGTTTCCTCAAAAACATTCCTTGCTGTGGGAGGGACTGCTGAAACCTGTCTCCTCCAAACTTGTCTCAAATTGCGACAGTTCTCAAACAATGTGGGGTGATTTTTGAACCCTGGAGGAAAATAGGTCCACTTCAGTTGGGTTTCATGGCCCATCAAGGAACTTTCCATTGAATGGCAAACAAGAGTTGACTTTCAGTTTCAAGGGCAATGCAGAAAAAAAGCATCTTTAACATGCACAACAGAGGACTCTTCAGGACTCATCAGATTACTTAATTGGGCTTAAAAGTGTATAAGGGCTTGCTACCACTGGGTCTAAGTCTCACACTATTTCACTGACAGCTCTGACATCTTGTACCAGCCTGTGTTCATTAGTATGTAGCTCCTTTACTGTCAGGAGATGAGTCCTATATTGTGGCTCACATGCCCGCAGTGATCTATCCTGCAAAACTTAGCAATTCATTCATCTAACCCTCTTCTCGCTTCTGACTTCAAAGAATAATTTTTTCTGCCCAACCAGTTGCCCATCAGGCTCAAACAGAATCCTTACTGGTTCCACTGCTTGGATTTCCCGGGAATTCCGTTGGTCCACATCAACACAGTGACAGTGTTTTCTACCTCCTTCCAGCAGGGATGTGCAGGAGGGAAATATTGATCCAGGGTTCCTTGCTGAACATTCTGAGCATGTCCTCTCTCAGCCTCTTCCCCCACTTTTGCCATTACCACAATTCCTCCACCTGCAGTTAAAGGTGGGTCTGAAACTGCCTTACTGAAATCCCAGGGGTCTTTGCCTTGAACTCACTGGATTAGGGCATTGGAGGATCTCCCTGAAAAATCTTTGGAGTCCACTGGAGTCTTCTCGATTCTCTGAATCCACGGAGAAAAGAAGGAGCATGGTTCCATCTGGGTCACTAAAAACGGTCTCCAAAACGCGGATAAATGAAATCCTCAAACAGGATCATTTTAGTATTAGCGAGTTCGGCATTACTTTGTGCTGGTCAGGGCGTGTGGAGCGGATAGTTTCAGCCACACACACACACAAAACATTTCACTTAGTTATCTGTTTCTAGCAAACAAAGAAATCAATGGCCATCCATTCTCAATTACATAATCCTCTTTATTAGTTAGTATTCTAACCTCTATTGGTTAGAACTTTCTTGCTTCTCATCTTAATTAGCACACATTTCTCTGACTCTTTATTATCTTTTTCCAAGGCAGTGAGTTACTCAGCATATACAAAATTGCCTTTATTAATCTCTTCAATGTCTAATGGTCTCTGCAACAACTCCTTGGGGGCTATAAACCTTGCATTTCACATGTCCACTTTGCAGCTTTGTTCACTGAAGCTCTTAAGTGTTAGTTTAGCAAAACTAAAAAATTTCCTGATTTTCCCAATCAAACTCTAATAATAACACACTGTGGAAAGAAGTTTAGCTACCAGCTGGCCGAGAGGTGGACTTACAGTTCTAAAGATTTATTTTAAAAACTAATTAAAAGTTATAAACTGCAAGCCCAATTACCTGCTGTAGGGCTTTGAAGCAGGAAGGACTAGGGGTTAACAAAGCATGTTTTGGAAAAGGGGCAGATGGAGTGGATGGCAGGTGTTGGAGGGAAGAACTTGGTTTGTCTTCCCCCACAGTCTTGGGGGCGTTAGCAGGAGAAATTATTTCATTGTCTTCTTTATGGATTGTCAAGCTGACATAAAACCTGCCTTGGAGGAAATTGTACAAAGGCTTCACCCAGGGAGACTCTTTGCCCTGAACTCCAGAGGAGAAAGGAGTCTATGCCCCAACAACCCTATAGCTCAGCGAGGGGCTCACGGGGTTCCTCCTGCACCTCTGGCATGAGGAACAGCACCCCACTGCTTGGCACTGCCCTCACTGCCCCGGCACTGGCTTTCCAGATGAAGAAGCTGGAGGAGGACCTTAAAAAGCTGAGGGAGGATGCAGCCAAGTGGAAAGAAAAGAGCAAGAAGAAGATCTCTCAGCAAATTGAGTAAGAGGACAGGAGTGGGTTTCATACCCTGTGGGGCTGCAAGGGAGCCCAGGGGGTCTGGCAGCATCCTGGTTTGCAGGCACAGCACAGTGCCCTGCAGCCCTGCAGGGGAAACCCTGACCTTGTCCCCATCCTGCTGGCCAGGGCTTTGCGTCAGGACAAAAAATGTGAGCTGCAGAAGATGGGAGAGCAGCAGGAGATGAGGAATGCCATGCTGGAGGAGATGGTGACTGAGACAGCCGACCAGCTGAACGAGCAGGTGAGGTCCTGGGGGAGCACTTCCACCACCCTTGGCTTGGTCATGTTGGAGGTCCATGCCACATCCTCATGCTCTGTGGTGCTTTGCTGTAATGTGGGGGAGGCCCAAACTGCCCAAATTGGCCTGGACCAGTGTCATGGTATGACGCTGGCACAATGCCAGCGCCCCATGAAAATACAACTTACTAATCAAATGCTGTGAAATGTGATCAAGAACAGAGCAAAGCAGGCCAAACTTAATAACAAAGGAAAAACTTTATTACACTACTACTACTACTACTACTATAAAAGGAAAAGAAAGGAAAGAAAAAAACACACAAAATTCGAAATGAAAACCTTCCAAAACATTTCTCCCCCCTCCACCCAACTCTACCAAACCCCAGCGAGACCCATTTGGATCCTTAATCAAGTTTTCACTCCTCAATATAATCAATACTGAGTCCATCGGGGAAGAGAGGAGTCCCCCTTGCACCATAGACCC